TACTACTACTACTACTACTACTACTACTACTACTACTACTACTACTAGTACTACTACTAGTACTACTACTACTACTACCACTACCACTACTACTACTACTACGACTACTACTACGACTACGACTACGACTACTACTAATACTACTACTACAACTACAACTACAACTACAACACTCAAACTTGTAAGGATCTGTACCGGACCATCATCCAAGCACTCCTCGTGGTGTCTTTTTCAAGACGGCAGATGATCGCAAAAGCGAAGCCCTTTGCTCCTAGTAGCGTTCTTGTTACTAATAGTAATAGTAAGGCCAGGAGCTACTAGTAGCTTCCTTGCTCCTAGTAGCGATGCCCTTTGTTACTAGTAGCTTCTTGTCCACGTTTGACCCATTTGATCCACCAAGCGCTTCCAGCCACTAGCGCAGCGAGTGGACCGACCAGGCACGTTTGGAGTCCGAGAGGAAGGTCACGGACTCGTTTGCCTGGCATGTTCGTACTCTCTTCTTGTGGCCCGGGGGGGTCTCCCTGAACATTGTCGCGATGCCAAGGTCTTACTGAAAAGGGAAAGGGTTCCACCTGTGGCGTTCCTAAGTCCGGACGATGAATTGAGGCTGGACTAAGAGGTACTGCTATCCACTTGGTGGTCAACGTCCCCGTAAGACACGCATCGCGAGACGTCCGTGAGACACTGATGGATTCGGCCTCCAACACGAGAAATCCGAGTCTTCAGTGATCCACGCGCGGCCCAGCGGCGCCCACGCGCGCCGCAGCTGATCCAGGAGGCTCTGTGTACTGCGCCTGCCACGGCACAGAGCATCGCTTTCATGGATTTCGGTGTTCAACGTGTCCAGACCAATCAGCCCTATGACAGGGAAGGGCGCTACTAGGGGCTCCTGTCCTTAGTACTAGGAGCAAGTAGCTACTAGTAACAAGAAGCTACTAGGGGCTCCTGGCATCGCTACGAACGGAGCAAGGACGCTACTAGGGCCAGGGCTGCTGGCCTTACTGCTAGTGGCAAGAAGCTACCTATGACAGGGAACGGAGCTACGATGAGATCTTGGTGACTGAGAAGCTCAACGTGGGCCAACGCGGGGAGGCGCAGCACCGCGCGGAAAGAGCGCCCAGGTGGGGAAGTAAAGGTCTCAAAGTTTCGCATAGTGCATACACGATGGTGATCTCTCCGGATATTGTCTGGGTAAATCCCCCATGCTAGACATGTTGTTGAGGTCATGTTAGACTAGGTTGTTGAGGTCATGTTGTTGAGGACAAATCAGACTGACAGCCTTTCCACTTTAAGGGTTGATTCAGGATGGAGGCGTGGGGCAGCTCACCAAATCTAAATGTGGATTCACCAGAACTAGGAAAGGGAAGTTGAAGGGAATCAGATTGCGGAGGGTGTCTCCAGAACATGTTTGTGGCTTGTGGAATGCAGTCCTCCTGTACTTCTCTGTTGGGAAGGACATCTGACGGTTTTGGCTCCACACAGCTCCTTCCCTTTCACAGTGAGGTGGCAATAGGTGCATGGATGGGTCTGGGGTGTCTGGGGTGTTTGTGGGTGGTACCGGGATTGCCTCGCAACCAGCCCACAAGCTCCTGCGACATTTCAAGCACGACTAAAAAAATCCGGATCAACATGCACACCCATGGTTCTTTCACCCATGGTTCTGTACCATCCCCAAAAATCACTGCCGCATTTGTTGAACCTCGTCTTGGAACCGCCAGAATCCGCATGTGCAGAAGATCTGGGTCAGGCGGGGTCGGGAGGTGAATGCTTCGTGGCAAAGACCCGAGAGAGGGTCCAAAGGCCGATGAAGAACCAGCTGCTTATGGTTGAGATCCAGCAAGTTGGTTCAACATAGATTTTTTTAAACTAAACAAATTTAATATCAATTAATTTAACTTTTCGTTAAGCAATCATAAATTTCGGCGTTAGAAGACTCATAAAAGTTTCGTACAAATTACAAACAGTGCTGAATAAAAAAACAATCACACCATATCACACCACTTTTCATGATTTTTAACAAGCAGCTCATATGTTTTCATAATCTTCGAGAAACATATGACAGTTTATGAACAAATATGTGAATACATACGAAACAATATGAAACATGGAAAATGTATGTTTTGAATGTTCACAGGGCTAATTTGTTTTTAGTTGCTTTTTTTTCCATAGATAATGGTTGTACATTTCATTAAAAAGGGGTAATGAAATCATTAAACAAAAGGAAACAAAAGGAACCACATTTCAATGATTTGGCCTAACTTATACCAGACTTGGGTCTCAAGAGTCTCAAGCTTGTGGGGTAGACAACAACGGACTCCTTTGGCTATGGGTCAAAACCCCAAGCCCTAAACCGGGCTAGGTTGACCTCCCAATAGTCTATTCTGTTCATTTTCTGTGGTCAACCAAGGCCCCGTGGTTTTGACCCATAGCCCTTTGATCTCCGGACCTTTTCTCGGAGTTCGTTTGCATAGGGCTTTTGCTATGTGCTTGGTAGACCTGGAGCCTGCTAAGCCTACTAGTGACAAATCAGGTATTGCCAGCATTTGTCAACTTTGGGTTTTCCTTGGGATTGGGACGTGTTGAAAACTGTTGGGCTCTTCCCAAGCCGATGCGCAGCAGTCCTAATTAATTTGCTTGCAGCATTGCAATTGACTTCCCAGATGGGAGTCTTTTATATCCGGTGCCTCACTCTTTAAAGACAACATGTCCTTCATTCCTGAAGGAACCCTTGTGCCCAACTGTATAAACTAGCAGTCAGGGCTCTCCGAACTAAGGATTTCCCCCAGTTTCTCCAAAGCCACTCCAGAACTCCGCGGCCGTCGGAGTTCCCGCGCTTGCCGCGCTCCGCACGCGCGCACGCGCACGCGCTTCAGTCGGGTTCCGGTGCACATCTTCAGCGACGAAGTCATTGGAGTCATGGCGCACTACTTGAACTCGCAACCTTCGTCCGTGCAGGACGGGAAAAAATCGGGGAGCCCGGTGGAGGCTTTGTTGGGTTTGGGGGTTGGTTGGGGTGTGTGCAGATCTTGACAAGGAAATGGGTGGTAAAGTGCTGTGAAGGAACTTCTGCAGGCACTTGGAACAGCAAATGGGGGCATTATAAAACAGATTGTGAATTTTAGTTGCTGCGACTTCACAGTCAGAGGTATGCAATGATGCCCTGGAGTTGTGTAGCTGATCATGAAACTGAGGAGAGAATTTCTAGATAAAAAGAGCACACGGAAAATGGCAGTGGGTTGATTGATGCCAAGCACCCCAAATCCTCATAATAGCCTGGTAATGCCTGGTAGTCCGTTTCATTTATGTTGGGGGGTTCAAAAAGAGCAAGCGTGAAGACAATCCCAATGGCCCAGTGAATGATGCCCTCCCCAACGCCGCAACAGACCGACATCGAAGTCAAGGGGGTAATGGGGCACTGGCATGGCATGGCACTTTGAGGGTGCGCAGCTTGAAGTGCTCGCATGATCAGCTTGAAGTGCCAGCTGCAGTTGTTCCGGAGAGAGGGTCCACTTTTCATCATGCGGGCTACGTACACAATGTAGAGAAGAAAAGTCTCCAGTGGGTACGGAGACTCTTTCTGAGGCTGCCTCAGTGACTGTGTCTTCATCGTCTAGATCCACAAAAGCCAAAAAGCGTCCACCTGCACTGCAGTGGAATGAACACCTTCGAGGAAGGTATATATATATTGATATATGATATATGGGTCTATCTTGAATGTTGACAGTTGGTTTAGAGTCTAGAGCTTGTTTGCTTCATGCCACAGGGAACAAAGGACTTTCTTGCATGTAAGGAGCAAAGACCTTTAGGAATCTTCGGGGATCCTTCCTCGTTCTTCCGTTCTCTTAGATTGTGATTGTTCCATCAGAAACAGGTTATGTTATAACTTATAGCCGGTTATACAAATCAGCCAACCGCAGCAAGACCCCAAAACTCGAGATCTGCGCCGAATCCGCGCTTTTTGACGTTCTTTGCTCCGCCCGTCACAGCTCCTTTGGAAGAAACGCGGAGGATGATGTGGTGGATGGCTTGGTGAAAGACCTGGTCGACTACTTCCGCGCCAGCTCCTCAGCCAAGCACTCTGCGCCGGCGACTATAAGCGCATGTGGGACGTAGTGGAGAAGACACCTTGGATCCAAAATCCATCCACCCGGGTGTCAAGTCTAAAATTACAGACTCATGAATAATATTGTAGAAGTGAAGGGATATACCTTGCTGACCTTATTGGGTACCTTGCAGGTACCTTTGGCAGTTCCTAGGATCCTGTTTGCCCTTGCTTTGGTAGCCATACAAGCTCCTGATCATCATGACATCCTTACACTTCTTCCCCCCTTAACGTGGCTAAGGCTAAAGGCCCCCAAAACCATCACCATGCATAGGCCAGTGTGTATGTTTGTATGTCGTTGTCAGGAGGATATCAAGGAGGTGATGGAGCTGCCGGCCTTGAAGAATTGCTTGTTGGGCCGCACTGACAAGGCGCCGGCCAGTTCTCCCGCGACGACTTCTCCGTCGGCGCCGGAGTCGATCGTCGGGTGCTTGCCCGGAGGTGGGAGGTAGCTGGTTCCAGAGTCTCTTGAGCTTCGAGAGCAATCAGCTTGGAGACTTTGGTGGATGGAATCGATGGATGGCAGATTGGTTCCTTGTAACACCAGTCTATCTATATAGATGTATACTATATAATTAATAGTACTATATTAGTAATGTTGTGGAAATCAACATGATTGCCAACCCGAGTTGGCAAGTGCATTTACTTACAAGGTGCTTTTTGCACGGCTTTATGCGAGACGCCCCACAAAGACAGGTGTTCTTCGGCTTCAAATCAACCAAGAAAATGTCTCAAAACAGGTTGCCCACATGCCTATACCAAGTGGACCCAAGTGGTACGGAATGTGCAGTTTCCAACATGTTGGTTGGTTCAACCGACCTTTGGCAGTTCCTTTCTATCCACTACTGACCATAGGGGTGACTATATTGAAGCTGATTGTGGTACCTGAGAGCGAGTGAGATCATGCTCGGGCTGAGATCATCCGCCTCCGGACTAGTTAAGCGAGCTCGAACTTGGTCCCAAAAAACAGACAATTGACATGATCATGTGCCAACATATGTTTGGTTGTCGTGGTGTATGTACTGCCTTTCGTTGGTTCAGCCCACCAGTCGTTGGTGACCATACCTCTTGTTTTCGGTGTCATGGGGTGTCCAGACCAGCCATCGGTGGCTCAAAAACTTCGTTCGTTTGCTTCGAGCACTTCATTCGCTTCACCCGAAACCCAGTGCTGCGCTGGTGGCCAGCCCAGTGCTGGGACGACACTTTTCATGGGTCGGTCCACCCTGAAACTCGAGCGTTTCGGTCTTCGGTCGGTCTTCGGCCTCAACAGGTGCGCAAGAGCACCGCTGCAGCCAATCGTCGGAGGATGGAAGCGATTCAGGACAGATCGGATGGAAAAACACCAAGAGACCTCAAATTGAATATGTTCGAACACAGGATCCGAATCAATTCAAATCATATAAACAAATCATGCATGATACATCGAATCATATCCAAAGTCTCCTTTCGGAATTGGATGATGGGACCAGTGTGTTGATTTGTGTTCGTCAATTTGGGGAGTACTACAAGTAGTGTATGTGTTACTGTATGGTTTTCTGTTGAGGGTACTCTCAAAACGATACGCTCCATCCTCCAAGTTTTCCTCCGCACTTCCCCTTATGGTCATGGTCGGGTCGGGACGGATTCAGTTTGGATCCACCGGCTCCTGTTTTGTGCATTGAATGGTCTCGTGTTGTTTGACCCATGTACCTGAAAGATAATGAATGACACACCTCAAATGGACTGATTCTTATTCTCGTGATGGTTTTGTATACTTGAAAAGAACTATATTATGTATCCAGCTAGTGGCTGAACAAAACATCAGCAAATTGCACATTAGCAAAGACATTCTTAGCAAGAACCTTGGCACCATACAACACTGAACGCATATACCGCGCCGAGCTGATTCAGCCCGAACCCAAAATCAGATCGGCACTTGGCGGGCCGTTTCCAGAAACGAAGCGGCGAAACTTCGTTTCCAGAAACTCAAATCACAATCAGAGTGGGCAAGGCCTGATGTGTTCCAGATTGAGGGTGCCACCTGCCTTCTTTGGCTTACAGTGGCTGCCAAACCCAGCTGTGTTGTTGCATGCTATTGCATTGCTTGGCATTGTCCGCACGTAGTAGCTTTTGAGATCATTTAGAAGCTGGCCACATGTCAAGCAAACAACAACACTCTCGAGCTGCTTTGCCAAAACTTGGAAAACGCATGGTGCAACATATTGCTAACTCAGGTGAAATAACGCCCAAAAAACGGGCGAAACTTTGCCAAACAACCACCTGTTTTTGTTGGTTTCACCTATGGGCTGTTTCTTTTGTATAAATGCAGTGTATCCACAATGCGTAGTTTGCAAGTCGCCTCTCAACGATCTTGGCTGACACGACACGACCGCCAGCACTTGTGGGTTTCAACTCAAGGCTTGGTTCTTTGATTTCCCAGAAGAGAAATGAGAACATATGATAACTAAAGACACCTGTATGTTAAATTCAATGAATGGATATTCAATCTAAATGAATGAAAACAACCACAGGGTTACTCTCCATTTGTGTGTTTGTGGATGTTGAATGAAGTTGAGAAATTGAACCAGAGCAACCTGCGGGCGATTGATCTTTTTGCAGGCGATTCTATCCTGTGCGGGCAAAGTCTTAGGAAGAACTGACTCCGAGCACAGAATGAACAGACTTCAGGAGCTCCCAGGTATGAGCCACCGCCAAAACCTGCGATGATCAATTCATCGTAAAGAAGTAAAGAGCAATCCTGAATATCAGGAATTTTATTGAAAGCTGCAAAGGAGGGAGGCCTCCTTCAAAAGCGATAACCGATAACCTTCTTGAAACATGTCCTCTTCGTTAAGAATACGTTTCGGCAGCAACCGTTTCCCCAATGTTCTCTTTCACTGAGTCTTTGCGTGATATTGCATGGATGTTCCATCTTCTCAAAGATGAAACATCCATGTGTCCTTTCAATCAACCACACCACCTTCGGGAATCGCCCATAATGGTCCAGCAGTCTCCGGCAGTCTCCATGCTGCATCCACCTCATGGGCAGGATTCCATGCTGGCGCTCACAGATGCTCCCAAGGTGGAGACCTTGACCCTCTCGAGGCCACCACGTGGACGGGTCACACGCCCCACGGGTCACGCCGGGCTTGCGCATTGGGACCCGTGGGCGCGTGGTTTCCCCGCTGCAGGGGAGGTTTGTTTGCTTTGCGACGGTGTGGCGCGGCGTGGTTGGTGGCTTCTTTCTGGCCAAACATTATTTTAAGCTATAGATCATGGATGTACATTGGGCTGTTAGTGTGAGAGGAATGCGAGGAAACGATCCCCCGGAGATGGAACGCACAGCGGACCTGTGGCGAACAGGGACGGGACTCGACCATCACAACAAACCTTTGAGTTGGTTCCACAACTCAACCAGAGATACATATAACATACAAATGTTCCTGGGGTAGTGAACAATCACATCATTTTTCCATATTTTTCCTCTTGTGGCTGAAATGGTTCCCAGCCAGCATAGATTTTGGTACATTTTGGAGAGCAGGTGGTCGACTGATTGGATGTGTACCCCACCTTGCCAGAAACCCCGACTTGCTGTTGTCCTTTTTGGGATTGCCTTACAATTTTGGGGTCCATTGAGGTCATAAGGTGGAACTGGTGCCACGTTGAAGGTATTTTCAGAGACCATTGAATCGGACCATTGGACTTCATTCTTCCCTTCGTAACTGGAAGGAGTCCTTGGAAATCGTTTCACCTGTAGTAACAAGAAGCTTTTGGTATGTCGTTTGGTCACATCGGAAGATCTCACCACTCAGCCCGCGAGTGCAGGAATGGCACGGGCAAGAGTGTGTGGAGACCCGAAGTGGCGACATGTGGCGACCGTGATGACTGAACAGTGGGTCAGGTAGTTGGGAGTCCCATAGGTTCCTTTCACTCGCAAGGCCGCATGTGAGAAGAACCGGGTCGCAGGATGTCGCAGGGCCGCGCCGGCATAGTTATTCTTCTTTCTTTTTCGGCTTTTTTTGTTCTGTGATCCTATGCAAGCTTGCTGAAACTCTTCATGTTGGGCAAATGCATCCGTTTGTTTGGACCCCCCCCTGCGGTCTTAGTTATTTATAAGCGACAGGCTTTTGAGTGTTGTGGTTTGGGCATGGCTGAGGAAGCACCGCGTAGTGGTTCAAGATTGCTTGAAGAGTCAAAAGAATGCAGCCCTGAACCCTGGCAGTTTGGCCTCCCTAGTAATTAGCCCTAGTAGTCTACTATTATTGTGTGTCTTTTTCAGTGGTCAACTGGGCTGGGGTCTCTCTAGTTCCTGCAACTGCCCTTTGGGTCACTTCCCAACAGCCTAAGGCCTCCAAGCTCCAGCGCACCAAGTCCAACCTCACCGTGCTCTCTGAAGATCAGGCGTCGCGCAGGGCGCGCCAGGCGGCCGAAGCAGAGCTTCCAAAGGCGGAAAGCGCACTTGGAAAGGTAATGAAAGGTAATGTCAAGATAGGATTAATAAATCCCCCCTAGTTAATCCGAGCCCACAAAGCCGCCGGAAATTGCCCAAATTAAAAGTATTATTGGCTGTTGATTTCCCCCCCTATGGTCTAGTTTTCTACCAACAATCCCCCCCAGTTAATCCGAGCCCACAACCAGGTCAATTTTTCGTATCACTACTACTACTACTAGTACTACTACTCCTGCTGCTGCTGCTACTACTGCTACTGCTACTACTACTACTCCTACTGCTACTGCTCCTGCTGCTGCTGCTGCTACTGCTACTGCCTACTACCTACTACCTACTACCTACTACATGTTTGATGAAATCCTTTAAAATGTCTAGGGCTCAGGGCCTATAAATTGCCTTATTTAAAAAACAATTAAAAACAATCATTTGACAAGCTCACAAAGGGTACCCCTCACAAGGGCCGGTCCCCCATCAATAATCTGCACTACTACCCCCTATTTATTTGATCCTGTGTCCCTGGCCTTTTCTTTGTGCTTGTTTAAACTTGTTGTGACTACTACTACCTACTACCTACTACTACCTACTACCTACTACTACCTA